ATTTTAATTAAGCTTAATATTTTCTATAAGTTAGATTCTTGTTAAAATATTTTTTTGCTTTTATTACTATTTCATTATTGTCATATTATTTTTAATTATTGTTATCTCACTCAATCTAATTCAAACTAATTCGCATGATGTTTTATTTATTTAAATAACTTCTTTTACTAGCTTTTAGCATCACATCGTTCGTGCAGAAGTCGACTTACTACGTCTATTAAAGCTGCGCTTTTTTCAGTTTATGGCAAGTCTCAATTAGATTATATTATTACAAAAGCTACTCCTGCACAAATGGATATATGGAAAAAATCTACCAAAATATCTGCAGCATATAAGAAGCTTTTAAGACCACTTGACGATAGTATAGAAGATACCTACTTTGACTGAATTTTGAAAAAAGTATGGTCTAATACTATGCCAAATAACAATCAATTGGCATACATGTTAACCATATGCCAAATTATGTTGAATCATAATTTTGATAAGTTGGTAATGGATAATGTAGTCATGAAAAAAAGACTGGAGAGAAATATTGTAAGTAATATTTAATTAATTATAATTTAGAATTTAAATTTTTTAAAATAATTCAAACTAATGTAATTTTATTTTTAATTTTTTTTTATTTTATTTTTTTTATGTAATTTTATTTAATTAGGATAAGCTATATGCACAGACTGCCTTTATTCCTCCAGAAGATGATAATGATTCTTTAGATGAAGCAGAAGAATTTGAAATAGTCCCAGCTACTACTAAGAAAAGTAGGAAGTGAAGAAAGGCACAATCACCAACAACCGCATCCTCATCACGTCTTGCCAAAAAGACCAAAAAGGGTAAATCTACTTGTACCACTATTACTAAAGAAACTACACCTATTCATTCATCCGTATATTCATCTGCATATTCATATATATCTGACACATAACAGGAAGATTCGCAACAATCCGCACCTACTCATGATAATCTGAATATTCTCTCCTCATCACAAACCATCCTGCAACAAAATCCTTCTTCTGAAGATGCTAGCCATCACGATAAATCATAAATCTTTTTTTTTTTGATTATATAATTTATTTTATTATTTTATTTTTTTATTTAATAAATTTATATTAATATATTTCAAATTAATTTATCTATTTTGAATTAGTTCGAATTATTTTAGATAAATTTAGATTAATCTAATTCGTTATTACATGATATTTTTAAATTTGATATATGAATATACTTAATTAATTTCGAAATAGTTTGAACTAATTTAAATTATTTAACACATGTTGTTTTAGATTTGATATAATTTTTAAAGTTTGAAATAGTTCGAACTTATTTAAAATTGCTTGATTTATTTAATTTATAAATTTATTAATTTATTTTAAAACTTTCTAAAATTATTAACTTTTTAATAATTTTAA